ATTACTGGCTTTTTCTCTGTAATTTGAGAAAAAAATCAAAGAGCACTCTGTACACAAGTTTGTCAGGTTATTATAATTTATAGCTTACCATTTCCAGAAAGTTTGAAAAAAAAAATCAAAGTTTCTGAGAGTATAAGATTGGATTATATATACTAGAGAAATATCAAGTTATGTAAAATATCTGATTTTAAAAGCCCTATACCCCTAAGATAAATTTACTAAATCAGTAACTGATACTGATCTATGGTTTAGAGTTCTAGTATGCTTATAAATCACTAAATCTATTATTTCATGGTATATAACCATCTTCAAGGTTCACAATATTTGTTATATTTGTTTCTGAATATTAAATTTCACAAACACAGAAAAAATGATTGTGGCTAAGTAGTTAAAAATTAAACCTCCTCTAAAGAAAACTCAAGAAGAAAGATTAAAGCACTAAAATATTAAAAAGGAAAATAAAGTTGAATACATGACTAAGTTTTTTTTAAAAATTGCTTCATAAAGTGATTCTCTAATTTTAACTTAATTATCACCATTATACTTACTGTGTAAGTTATAGCTGCCAACATTCCAATCAAGGTCAGAGAACTAATGGAAAATGACAAGGCAGCTAAGCCATCTGCAAAGGAAGAAAAACACTATTAAAAATGCACATATATACTATTCAAATGTATTCCTTTGTCCTTGAAGTGCTAACTCCAAGTGGAGAAAAGAGTTTTTAAAGGGCTCTTTACAAATTGATTTGTAAAAGATCTTTCAAACTAAGGTGTTCTTTCCTTTACCTCTTAACACACTGTGGACCCGTGATGGCAGATTTGCATCTATATATTTAAATGCCCCATCCTCAATGTGTTAAAATTAAAGAGGAAAATTGCTGCCTAATTATTGAGCCTAAAACAAAATCAGCAAAATACTAGATGCTCAAAAGGTAGCAAAAAAATTTCCTGGCCTTTCTCAATGGCAGACCTTGAGAAATAAATCACATTACATAGGAAAGCCATTGAACTTGACTCTTCCTGCCCTCTCCCCTCAATCTTGACACTCCTAATTAATTCTTAATTTTCAAATAAATCTTTAATATATATCCTTAAACTAAAATCTTAAAGAGTTTATTTCAGTCTTTATCTTGAAAGGAGCTAGCTTGCCCAATTGGCAGGAAAAAAAAAGAAAAAGAAAAAAACAGCAGCAAACAAAATATTAACAGATTCAAACATAACACCAAAACAGAAAAACTATGTTAAGTTAGATTTCAGAAATTATTTAAAAGATGCCAATGAGCGAGGGACAGAGGTGACACGTTTAAATAAATATGCCAGATTATGCAATGAAATACTACGCAAATTTAAATATTCTTAAATGGGAGCAATCCTAATTTTTCTAGTTTTAATACAGGACCTGTATTGATCTAGTTTAAATGTAGGCCCCGTGGAGACAAATATAATTTTTTATTAACTTAATGTATCAATATTAATCTTTTCATACATAATAAAATTAGACTAATCTATTGTCTTAAAAACCACATCTCAGCTTTACATAATACTTGAAGAGATCACATTAACAAATTCACAAATTATGCAAGGCAAATTTTAAGCTTTAAGTTTTAAAACTATAACACTGTATTTTATCAAATCAAAGCCATCAATGCTATTACTTTCTTGATCTTACTAGAAGTATCAACAGAAGGTGTACATGACTAGGAGAGGTCTGACATTTAGCTGATATTAATTTTAAAGTACTATCACTTATAAAATACATCCCAAAATTAGATATGTATCTTGGAATTGATAAAATGGAGTATTATGCTAACATATGTAGCCAATCTAAAAAGTTAATATTACTAATACTGATAAGCAAACTGTATTCTAGGATATAATGTTTAAGATTCGAGACTAAAAAATAAATAACGTTAAGACTAAAGAGAATGAGATTACAGAAATTAGAATTATGCTACCTATATAATCAGTGATTCAAGTTATACTAATACTCAAAGACTAGCATGACTTATAGAATAGGCAGAAAAGTAGTTACTCAGGAGACCTGGAAGAATTAACTGCAAGAAAAGAAGCAATTTATTTCTCAGCAATAGGATCAGGTACATAAATCCTGACAATTAAGTATTAGTAGATGCCAGGCCTGCTATCCTTATTCTTGCTAGTATCAGCAAGATATTAATGGACCACAATTTACAAGATGAAATCTTAAGTGGAAAGCAAGAAAATTAAGAAGTTGTACAGCAAAGGTTCCAAGACTTAATTTAATCATCGTTTAATATTGTATCTGGGTAAAGAGAAAGAACTGCTGATCAAAGGATGTACAGTACCTATTAAAAAGAAAAAATACAAAAGCAATAAAAATTCTCAGCATAATGTTTATAAAATAAGTACACTTATGCTAGGTTTCTTTGAAAATAAAGTTACTATGTTCAAATTCACATTAAATTCTGAGTAACAAGGACACATTCTTACTTGATATCAGTTTCTAATGCCAAGTATATTTTTCAATGATTAAACAACTTTCTTAACCTAACTTGCTGAGCCTGACTATTTTCTTTTCCTCCAAAAACCAAGGTCATGTTGACTAAGTTAAAGAAAGCTCTGGAAAAGCAATCCAAAACTGTTTTGGTGAGATGAATGTATAATAAAATATTATTTCAGTCATATGAATCCTCTGTAATTTATATTCCACATAAAAGATTACATAACCA